AAAAATTAATTATTTTCTATTTTGATAAAATTTTTCCAATAAATCGTGACGAAGAGTGGAAAATTTGACTTGTCCCTACCAGGCTAAAATCGATATTAACCAAAGCCGTTAATTCCGAAAACCATAAACATCCCAAGGACCACGAAACGCTTCGGTGACCCTAGTCACATAACCCGGCATTTATTACGAAAGATTCTGGAAATCCATCGAGCGCTAAGGGGCATCGTATCCCGGCATAGGCTAACGCAGTGGTTACCCTGGACCGTACGAGAGGCATCCATTAACTAAGCCTGTAATCCCTCCAGTTAAGTTAGCACATGGTGCGACGGACCATCGTCCATCGTACTCACACCAACACGTAAATCCTCCTGTCTTACGAGCAATCTTACCCTCTCTATTTTCTTCGGCTTCTTTGTAGATACGTGATACACTCATTGCTAGTGATTCCCTTATCCCATTCTTTATGGGCTGAACCGTGTAAAATACTCTATTTGTCTAAATCAGCACCTTTGGCTATCTTCCGACATAAATGGTAAAAAATGTGCTCTTAGCACGACTGTTTTTTAGGAAAGGTAAATTTTACAGAAATCCGAGAGCTTGTCCGAGAGCACACACCACCGCGATAACTCATCAGCTGCCTCGTGTCATTTCTAGGTACGACGGAAACGAAAGTCCCGGATAAAGGAGAAAATTGTTTAACAACGCGTTCAAATCCGTTACGAATTAACAAAGCAAATTAAATTCGTTAGACAATTTAAAAAAAAATATATTGTTGCTCTACTTTCACTCGAAAGATATCTGAACAACCGATTGTAAATAGTTTTTGTTTAATAGTTTTGTTTAAGTTTCTATCACGCATCTTTAATGTAATTAATATTTCATCGGATACGAGCAACGCGACGCCAGAACAAGGCTTAACGATTACCTGTACTCTTAATGATGAAGCGGAGTGTCACATTCTCATAGTAAGTAAGCCAACGATAGGTAAGATGAGCCGTTTTACTATCGGATGAGAAATTATTCGTGAGGGTGCACTCCCGATACGTGCATACCTTATCCAAATGAAAAACAAAATAGGAAACAAATTCGTGAAAGCAACGAAATATTTCGACAGTTTATACGTTAATCTCATTAACAATTCAGGAATGTTCACCACTTCATATTACGAACGGCATTAAAAGCTTTGACACCGCTTGCCTGTATGTGCCGCTTGAATTAATTATCATGCAATTTATTAAGAGGATTTACGCGATATGTTGAAGTCACCCGACGTCCTGATTAATTTTGCATTATCAATTAAAAAATAATTGCTGTGGATTATGTAGAGGCTCATTATTATGCCACTTTAGATCAATAAAGGGCTATGTTGAACGCCCATCACGCGCCGGTGACAAGAATTTGCATAATATTTTGAAATTAATCGACTTTTCTGCTAATTTTCAATGCCAGATCATAAACCAATATCAGCCCTTTGTTACTGACGGTATCATCTAATATCGATAATGACTATCTCATCATTTACGAACATTTTGTTACATCAATGAAATAATTTGTCATATCATCTTGCTATTATGCATCATAAATATGTTACTATACTACAAGCTATAGCACAGGTTTATAGCATTCGTATATCTCACGCAAAATAAATTAAAAATATTATTAACAGACAAAACGTAATATTCAATAATGAAAGTTAATGACAGCGGCTATTACGATATAATTAACTTATCAAATTTCTATAGATTTTATATTCATTTTGTAATTTTTTATGCAGGTATTCCTCCGCATATATTTACAATTTGTATCTTATTTAACAAATTTTTTAAAATTTATATTTTATAATTAAAATTGAAAAAGTGTCGTGATTTTTCAGTGTTTTAATATTCTCGTGTTTAGCAACGCAGTCCAATTGCGTCGTAAAGCATTTAAGCGGCGTTTCGTACGATCCTGGGGCATTACGTACAATTTTCTTCGCATTATACCTAATTGACCGGCTGATGTCAGTGCGTCCCGTCTCTTTCCGTCGTATATCGATCTCGAAATTATAGGGCGATTATACGGTGCAGCCATATTGCTAGCACGATTTAGTGCTGTGCTTCGTTTGTTGGTTTTGATGGAGCCAAATTACTACGAGTCGATGAACGTCGTCTCAACTTGATAAATAATGCATGATAGTAGCGCTCGCTTAGCAATTGAATATTTCTCTCCAGGGGATAAAAAATTCAACGTTTAAAGCTTTCAAAATCAAGTAGCTTTATAAATAACGAATTCAGAAAGATGCTTATAATAAATGATATAATAGAGATACTGTGCCAAATACGAAATTCAAAATTTAAATAAATTTATTTGTTTGCATCTGCTGATTATAAGCAGAGAGACACTCTAAATAATTTAATTGGCTCGACGAATAAAAGTAACGACATATCTGCGCTTTATGTCACGCATACACACAGCTCATATCGGCGTCTAGTCATTGTTGGAAATCGCGTGTTTATGAACAATTTATCATTAGCTCCTGAGACAAGAGAGAGAAAGCAAAAAGAATGTATTTGAAGGACAAATATTCTCCACGTAGCTTATATAACCTTAATTAATGAAGTACGTTATATATATTTACGATACCGTATACGACGATAATGTCAATATAAAAGATTGAAGACGAGAAAATGAAAAAAAACTTCATTAGTCATAGCATCGTTTCGTGACTTCCTCGTGACTTCCTTCCCCATGGTACAATTCGAGAAATCTTGAGGGTTATAAGCGGAAGAGATTAGAAATAATTTCAGATCGCGTAAAAATCTATATAATCACCATGTAATAATGCGACATGCTATTGTGATAGATTATTAACTGAAGGAGAAAATCGTGACTCACTAGTTTTACATCTTTTAACATAAAATACGTAATTAAAAATTACGGTGCTCACAAAGGCGGGTCAGATCTTAAAAGAGGTGTGACAAAGTAACTTTACTTTATGCTTGTTCATTTACCCTTGATTACATTGTACTTGCATGCCCGCGTGGTGCGATACCACTAGTAAAATCTAATTAATCGAGTATAAGAATAGTCGCGTGTGAGTCGCTTGTCTGAGAACGGATCGCCAGTAACTTGATTGCGATTGAACGCGCGCGGCGTTGAAAGCGCGCGGCGTTGAAAGCTGGCGAAAATAAAGCGTATGGTAAACACGATCGTGAACAAAACATTGCAATTGCAGTATCGTTCTCGCATATATCTATATCCATTTTAATCGGCGTGCCGCAACGCAAAGCGAACGCAGGGCGCGTTTGGGATATTGCAAGGTTATTTCAGCGTCTCGCATGGAATACGGCGAATGCTAGCGGACGGCAATCGGCAGATGAAACTGCAGCGTGCGCAATCCGCTATACTCCTGTCGATATATTCTTCTTCATAACGACCGGGAATCAAGCGGATAACGTACCCAATACCGACGGCCCTCCCCCTCTCCCCGTCTCCAAAAAGGAGGAAAAAGGTGGAATGCAAAATGAAGCCGCATAAATCGTGGAATCTATGTTCCCTTAAAAATTTTGATAAACTTCACTATTATGAATTGAATTATGCCAAGAGAAAATGTGAAATAGTTAACATTGGGAAGAACATTTGAAAGATAAAGATCTGTGCAAGATTAAATGAAGAAAAATAAGACTTAAGTGAAGGAGCTTTGAATAAGAAAGGGCTATTGTAATGTGTTATTTAAATCATAATTTCGACGTTCCTATAGTAACATATTAGTAAATCTATCCACGATTCGTGTTTGTTGTTGGTTCTTGTTAGCTATGCCCAGTATTGAATTCGTCCTTGATAGACGATTATCGTCACCGCATCGATCGACAATCGTAACGAACGAACTTTGACATTAGCGAACCATTCAACGCATATTTGGGGTCAACCGAGTATAGTGTCTTTTTAGAACGCAGTTGAAATAAAATAAAATCAGTCGAGACTATTATAAATATATTCCGTAATTTGACAGAAATTGATGTTTTGAAAAAATTTGAATATAAACTTTTTTTCATATAAATCGATATAATTGACCCTATTCTATACCGGTAATACTATACGGGTAATACTTAATACTAATCAATATTACTTTGTATTGGAACGTCGCATATTTCAAATAAACTTTAAATATACTGGTGAATAAAACAACATTTATTGCCGTCACAATTTTTCAATATTTTATGACAAATGTCAACATAAACCAAAACTCATTACAATAACTAAATAATAAAACAAAAATACGATATTATATACATGAAATCGTGAAAATTCAATATGAAATTTTAGGATATGTAAATACTTGCACAAATTCTTGCATTTTAACGTGCAGAGCGCAGGGGAGATCGATACTAGTTTACATATATTCTTCTCATCGATATGTAAAGTAAATTGTCCGATATATTAAGAATAACTACATCATAGAAAACAATAAAAAAAAGGTAGTTTATCTAAAAAAAATTCATCTCTTCGAAAATATTTCGAGAATTGTGCGTTAATGGCGTCGGATATTCGCGAAGTGAAAAGTCCAAGTATTTCGCAAAGAATGCGAAATTGTACTTTCGTCGTTATTTGAAGACAATGAGCGCACGTCGATGCCGAGAGAAAAAAAACTCAGTAGGATACAATGGATATTTCCGTCGGAAATCGAAGCAAAGTACTCCCAGAGTTAGTGGCTACCGTGCGTGCCTGGTCGGCCACGCGAATCACTTACGCGGGGTGTTAACCCTTTTTGCTCCGACGCGGCCGGCAGTCGCTCGGCGGAGCTTATCCCTGACACTTACCACTCGCAGTAGTCACCGGCCGGCAAGGCGATACGAGCGCGTACAAGCCCGCTCGCTTGGCGCGATGCGCGTACAGCCTGACTATACCTCTCGTCGCACTCCTCATCCTTCGATTCACCTGTCTGACGCCAAGCGTCCGTCCCTACTACGCTCCACGGGGCTCCCTTCTCCTCGCCCGTAGTCCTGCCCCCTCCACCGAAATCGATGCTACTCGCGGATCGCGAGTTCAGTCTGCGACTGGCAACCGCGCGTGTAACGTCGTTCCTTCCTTGTCCCTCTCTCTCTGTCTCTCTCTTTCGCTCTCCCGTCCCTTCTGCTCTCGTCGCACGTTGCATCGCGCGAGTTTTTGAGTTACGTCGTCGGGAGAAAAAGCGGACAGTTCCCTTCGTCGTTACGAGAACTTGCGGTGTAGGACTTGCGATTAAGACGGTATTTTTTTGCGAGGAGAGAGAAAAGGTGAGATAAGGTGGATAAGATGCGAGCTGATATCGTGTCGGTGACGATCTCCCGCTGTCAGATGCATCGCCGTCGCGCATTATCGGAGCGATCTTGAGGCGGTCGGATGTGCAGCGACGTGGGGGATAACGATTCGGAACGGACTCTACTTCTACGCCGGCAGAACTGCTGATTCGGTGAGTATAAGTCGATGAAGTCTCTCGAAATCTCAAGTGATGCGTAACGCATATTTAAAATACGCAGACTCGAGATATAATAAATGTAAAAAGGGATAAAAAGCAACTCCAATATAAACATTTCTTGCGTATCAAATCTACAACGAAATTGTATTTTGATTTTATATACTATCGTTCAAATGTTAAATTTTCCGCGAATTTTTCCTTCTATTCGTGATACGACATTCATAAAAATATTCATATTTTTATGAATGTATTTTTTTTTTCAGATTTAGATTATCTTTTTCCGAGTAAGATAAATTTGATAATCTGAAATTTTCATAAGTTTAGAGAGAGACAAATATGTTTTACGTAGCCAAATTGCAAACGCAGATTTATCGCAATATTTTATCGGTAAAGAGAAGATCACCGTGCATATCAGTATCCGTCGCAAGTAGGCAAATGCGTGATTGGTCAGCCTGGTCGGCTTTACCGTGGACGTTCAGTGACAGTTTCCATTACGGCTCGCCGTAATACTCCGACAGGTCCACCCATGGTGGTTTCTCTCGTACGTTCCACCGCAAGAAATTTCATTCCTCCCTTGCTCTCCCTCACACGGCCCTGACAATCTCGCTCTCTCCTTTGCCCGTGATCTCCGCATCACCATGGTCCACAAGTACGGTCATACGAGTACGATACGGACATACGCGACCCGCCGGAACTTTGTTAATTAATTGCTTCGGAAATATAATCCACGTCGAGTGTAACTAATCAGCGAGAAACTCGGTCGGACGTTGACGGGCATGTTTGCTGCACCTATCACGTAGCGGGATGGAAATGTAATTTGCCAGGATAGAGTTAGCCCCGTTGAATGCCGCGGCCAACCTTCAGCCTGTTTCTCCACCCCCTTCGGTGCCAGTCCCGCTCCGAACCAGAGACCCCTCGCAGCGGCGTGCCGCTCATTGATCGCTATTCTGGATTTCGCATGTAAGGATCCAACGGAGCAGTCCGTTGCGGAAGCATCGCTCTGTGCACGCGCCCGCCTGTCTGCTGTGTTTCGACGAGGATGCGCAAATCGACTGGTAAACGTTACGATGCAAATACGCGCCATCGTACTCCGCATTGGCCTGACGTGCGCTTTAAAAATCACGATCCCTTCCAAAAGGCTCTTTAATAAGCCGCAGATTGTCCCGTACATGATGAGTCTGTATTTTTTTCAGAGATTTATTTTTACAGATTTATTACAATCTTTTTTCTTGGAAACGTCGAAATATCGATGTCATTAAATATCTAATGTAATTGAAAAATATTGAAATTTAACAAAGAATCAGATTTTATAGCTTTTATGAACTTATTTTTTAGTTTACGTTTCGTAAAACTTTAATTTTCATAATTATTCATAATTCAGAAACTTTTAGCTCTTTTGATATTTTTTATAAAAAAAGTTAATTTTAAATTGATGAACAAATTTATATATGCAAAGAGATATGTTGTATAAAAAGAATTTTGTATCTTGACTTACATTGCATATAAGAAATTCTTTATTATAATGTACGGTAATAATGCATCAATTAATAATAACATAATATAAATATAGCATATTTAATCTAAGAATAACGAGCTGCGAATCTTAAAATTTCAAATTAAAGTTTGCTTATAAACTGGAGAAAATCCAATAATATATCGCGTAAGGGAATGATTAAAATTGCCAACTGTTGCAAAGCTGTCACGATTCTCATAAACGCTATTATATGTGTTAATATTCATTTAATATTCAACATCACGCGTATTAATTACGCACATAATTAGTTCTCTTATGAAGATTCTTTCGCTCTCGGCGGGTGATCGTTTTTGCATTTAAACCGATATTAATAATCAAATCGAATTTCATTAACTTTAATAAAAAAAGAAAAGAAAGAACAATAAGACTTTATTGTGGAAAATTTTGAAAAGTTTTGAAAATGAAAAATTTAAAAAGCGTTTTATCAATCGTGAGATATCGCAATTTATTTAAGAAAAGGGAAAATATCTAGATGAATGAATTGTAAGCGGTAAATAACTGGCGACAGGCGATGGGAAGTAATCGGACGTGCGTATAGAATAAGCGAGGGGAGAAGGGGGGGGAAGGGGGTATGGAGTTTCGAGGATTACATGAAAACGGTTTCAGTGTCGGATATGTCGACGAATTCGCCGGATGGTTAAGCCAGCAGTTACGATTAAAAGCCGCGGGCTTCCATTGTATCGTTCATTCGCATATAGGGAGTTCTCACATAAATTGTTTAAAACGTTTACTCGATTGTCACGAAGAAGGTACAAACGGAAACTGCGAAACTACAATTGGGCATTTAGTCGGCGCGATCGCCCAACGCAACACGGCAGGACAAACGTATTCAAATCCCGCGAATTATTACGCGCGCGCACACATGCGCGCACGCGCGCACCAACACACACACACACACACACACACACACACACACACACACACACACACACACACCGCGCGCGCGCG